AGAGAGAGAGAGAGAGAGAGAGAGAGAGAGAGAGATTGCCTATGTTGTATTTTTGATTTTGATGTATCCGTGCATCAGTTCCTACAAGTTTTGCTGTAAAGCGCATTTTTAATTCATAGAGTGGAATGCGCAATATATGTGCCATTGGTTATTATCAATATCATTATCACATATTAGTGTCTTACTGGTACTGCAAAGGTGTGTTATGGGGGTTCTCGTGGCCTAGAGGTTAAGGTGATCGCCTCTTATCCAATAGGTCCCGGTTTCGAATTCGGATAGCAACGGAAAATTTTATCCTTTCACATTCTTTCCTGCTCTCTAACAATGTTCTATAGTCTGCTTTCGTCTCTGCTTTCTGCCCCATCCCCTCACCTCCTTTGCAACCTCCTCTGGGCTCTTGACTTTTTCTGCAGCCTTTCCACTATTTCTCCATGGCTCCTTCTTACGACTGTCTTTCATTCACACCCCTGATCTTCTGGTAGGAAAGATCTACACCTAGCCTTCTTGGACAAGGGTGAAACATCTCTGAGGTCCCAAGTGCAAGCTGCACTCGTTAAAGATCCCTTGGTCGTCCAAAATCGATTAGGGTAGGCTTCGGCCGCCACCCGGGCAAAATTTAAAATTTCCTATCTACTGAAAATGTTTTGTGTGTCCCGCGCGCTTATATGACCAATGCAGTTTTGATCGCCGAAAAACGCATACACACAAAAAAAAAATGTGTTACTATCGGTTCAAGAAAGAAGCATTTAATTCCAGAGTATCTCTACCTTGTTCAAATATTGTATCTTGATGGGTACTGCTTAAGTGTTCGCGATAGCTTCTCTAATCTCTATATAGGCCTTTTTTTCCAAATTTAAATACAGTGAAATTTATATCCTGTTTTTTTTTGTTTATGTCATTTGATCAATATAATTGCTATAATTAGTGTTGCTATGACTGCTATTTGTTATCAAGATCCGCTGTACTTTTTCTTTTTACAGAAAAGACGATGACGGCATTGGTTAACTTTGTTCAAGGTGATGATGGTGAGTGTAGTGTAACAGATTTATAGGTGTTTTTTTTAAATTGCAAAGAAGTCCCAAGTTTGTTCAATCAAATAAAGAATGAAGCAGCTAGGTGGATTTATTATTTTTTTAAAGAGAAAGAGAAGAATTTTGACAAAGTGCAACAAGCTACTTGAATATTGCTTTAAGTATATTGAAAACCACTCAGACGAGAATTTGTCGCTTTAAAACCGTGCTACAGAGACACCATGAAGGCCTCTTTGAAGGACTTCAACATAAATCCCTCATCATGGGAGAGTTTAGCTCCTGGCAGACCCAGTTGAATTACAGAAGTCACAGAGGGCAGCCAGTCATACGAGATTTCATTAACTTAAAATGCTGATTCCAAGATAGAAGCCCATGAGCTGAACACGCCCATGAGTGAAAGTTCTCTGACAGAGTTGGTGTCATAAGTCATAGTAGGAGAAACAAGTCATTGTTAATCTTTGTTAACCTTTGTTA